ATTTAATGTCTTGAAAAAAAATACAACAGGTTCGTGCCGTGACAAAAACGTGTTTCATACCAAGAAAAACAAATCCTATCTGAGGTAACAAAAATGTTGTTAAATTGCCCAATGCAGCGTGTCTTGGTATTTTACTTATTTCAAGGAAGACTTCTGTTCTTTTTTAAATCTATTGTTTCGTAAACTTTCCAAAGAAGTTGCCCGGCGTTCGTAAAGCCCATCAGGATTTACTGAATAAGGTATTTTAGTGGGTGGAAACATGATTCATCATATTTGACAGTTGCTGAAATCTTACATGATGAACACTTAAAAAACAGATTCAATTATTTCTTTTATTGCTGTACCGTAAATGCGTTTTTAATGCGATCGCTTAAGCGAGTTTTCTTAGAGATTATGAAGAAAAATATATTATCAGTTGAAAAAGTATAAAAACAGTGGGGATGTTATGTAGCTCAAGTTGCTTATCTAATAGTAATATTGCTGAAATTTAAGTTCAGTCAATGCATTTTCCGGGAAATAATTTCGGTCTAACTCCTTTTGGTAAAAATCAGGAAAATGCTTTTTTTTTTTTTTTTTTTTTTTTTAAAGTTTTTTGATGTTATGCGTCGGGAATGACTTGTTCCAATGAATTCCTGTTTATTTTCTGAGAAATTCAAATAGACTGTGTACCATGTAATAACATTAAGTACTTTGAACTATACAAAAGCTCTTCTATTACTATAATAGTAAAATGAAACAATACATGCCATTGTCTGACAGGTTTGCTTATTAAACTGCCGCGCTTGTATAATTTTAGTAATGGAAAAAAAATTAATCATTTAAAAAAATTGTTTTAATATTTTTTATTTCTACACAGTAAAAGAATTCCGAATCAAATTACGCTATCATGTTCTGTCACTTTGGGTGCATAATCCGTAAAATCCATTTTTACCATAAAATATTATGCCGTAATTTTTAGAGTAATGTTTATTACTGTGAAAATTACGGTATTATTACGGTATAATTATTACTGCAAAAATTACGGTAAATCAGAATTATTGTTCTGCAGCATGTTTCAGTAAAAAAGGGACTTTATGTTACTATCACTCTTAGTGCCGGTATTATTTACGGTAATTCAATTCATATTTTTTTCTGTGTAGCTTAGCACTGGAGCATTGATTGACTCGTGAGTGGCGTTCACACGGAACAGAAACACAGACTTGTCTGTATGGTAAGTAGCCAAGTTTGTATGGATTGAGTTCTATTAAATAAATTACGACATAGCGGTGCATTAGAGCCGCGATGGCTCAGGGGATAGAGCGTTCGCTTTCCAATGAGGCGAGCCGGGATCGAATCCCAGTCGATACGAATTCCGCATCCGACTTGCACCTACCACAGTGCTGAAGTGAAATATCCTCAGTGGTAGAAGGATCATGGGTTACAGTCCCTTTGCTGTCAGGCTAACCGCGGGAGGTTCTCGTGGTCTTCCTCTCCGTGTAATGCAAATGCGGGTTAGCTCTATCAAAAAGTCCTCCACGAAGGCAAATTTCTCCCAATACTCGATCCAGGAGTTCCCTTATCTTCTGGATTAGGTTCAAAATTACAAGGCTACGGAGTTGAACATTAGTAGTAATAAACCCATTAAACTGGGTCGGCTGCTCAACGACGGTTATAAAATAAAATATGAAATAGCGGCGCACTGAATGATTAAGTACCATTCCTATGAAATCGCATAAAATTGCACTAAATATCAGATACATATTATGGTAAAAAGGTTCCCAAACTAGAGATTTCCTTTTAGAAATTAAACTTTTCAATGAAAGAAAAAAAATGGCTAGCAAATTTGAGACAAATTTGAATTCATTTTTGAAACTATCAAAATCATGCTTGTACTACATTAAATTCATTTATTCATTTTTATTTTATTTTATTTACTTATTTATTTATTTGGGAAAACAATTGATTACTTGATATCTTGAAACTTGAGATCTCATTTGTATCATTCCAGGAATAAGACTTAAAAACATTCGTGTTAAGGCTTCCAGAAAGTGGTTTTTTTCAAGTAAAAGTTTCAAAAAGTAGTTTTTGTTCTATTATCTTAATGAAGCTTCCAATACATGTTATTATGTCTTTATTAATCCTTATATCAAAAATAAAAATATTTGTGTACTAAGATGCCCAACAAATTAAATTCTCACATCTCATTTATATCATTCTAGGAATAAGACTTAACATTCATGTTAAGGCTTTCAGAAAGTGGTTTTTTTAAGTAAAAACTTCAAAAAGTAGTTTTTGTTCTATTATTTTAATGAGCTTTCCAATACATTTTATTATGTCTTTATTATTCTTTATATCAAAAATAAAAATATTTGTGTACTAAAATACCCAACAAATTAAATTCTCACATCTCATTTATATCATTCTAGGAATAAGACTTAACATTCATGTTAAGGCTTTCAGAAAGTGGTTTTTTTTAAGTAAAAGCTTCAAAAAGTAGTTTTTGTTCTGTTATCTCAATGAGGTTTCCAATACATGCTATTAGTATTTCTTTATCAGTCTTTATATCGAAGATAAAAATATACTAAGATATCCAGCAAGAAAATTAAAAATATCATGTCATATTGGAACTAAGCATCATATCATGCATTCTAGAATATAAATAAAAGAATAAAAATTAAGAATTTTTATTTTAAATAAGAAATGAAGCAAATGATAATTTTCAGGAAAAAAAATAAAATGTCAGTAGATTTGATTGAAATCAAGTTCAAAATTATCTACTTGCGCTGTAATAAAACAAATTTTGTTAAACCTTTATTATGCTATTTATTTCTATCCTTTATTATGCTATTTATTTCTATCCTTTATTATGCTATTTATTTCTAAACCTTTATTGTGGGATCTTTTTTTTCTTTACTAAAGTTGTTATGTTTACAACACGTAATGAATTGTTATGATTATTTACCTCACTGAAATGTCTCATAAACATTGCATGAATATTTCAAGCTGTTCCACCATCACTTATTTTATTAGAAATCAACAAAAACCATGAAAGAAAGGGTGAAGGGGGGGGGAGAATTTAAACTGTTTATCGATTAGCTCGTGTGTTTTATTTATTTTCTGATCAAATTTTTCTGAACAAATAATAAGAGGCAAGAAAGTATAAACTTTGTTTAAAATACAGTAAAAAAGGATTTAGACATTACATTTTAGAGAAGAAGCAAAAAAAACATTACATTTTAGAAAATAATTTAAGAGCATATACTGCTTTATCAGTTTATTTACTGTTTGAAATTTCAAACAACAACAATAATAAATGAAACAAATAAATAAACAAAAGACAAACACAATTATTTTATTTTATTTTACTTCAACAGAACAGAAATACGAAAAAGCATTGCAGAATCTACAGATTGAAAAAATATTTTTAGAGCATATAAAATATACTTTTATTAATTTTTAGAAATTTAAATATTCGAAACAAAAAATCAATAAATAAAATGTAAAGCGAAACCAATTCTTATTTTAGTTGGGAATCCAATGTCTCTTTATCTTCTAATTTCCAGTTGTTGTTTGAGAAAAAAGTATGGTTAAAAATTCCGGAATATGGTAATCTTTACCATACTTCTGGCTCTATCGAAGCATCAAAAGGTAGTGAATTTTTAGTAAATCTCTTTGGTAATTATTTTCTTAAAATTAAGGATAAAATATGGTTTTATAATATATGATAAACTATGGTGTATGTGGTCAAATTAAACGGGAAAATTACGGAATGAATGGTTTAAATATTTTGGTTTTATTAACCGGAATTATGACTTTTTTTCTTTAACCAGAAACACCATTTTCAGATACCAGCGTAAGATTGATTTAAATGTCACCAATAATCTTTACCACAAATCCCAACAATGTTTATAAATGATAAGCAAATAAGCTATGCAAGCTTGGAAACAATGTTAAATTCAACTATGCTAGCTTACGCTTTATGAGGTTCGCATTAAGCTTGTATAAACAACCCTTTAATATCGAGTTTGAATCTATCTTTACAAAACAAGGTCAGAAAAACCTTTTAAAATCGAGGATGAATCACCATTCACAAATTAAGAGTAGAAAGCGTTCTCATACCGAGAATAGGAGCTAAATTCACCTTTTCAAGGCTAATTTTATATTTGAGACCATTTATGAAACAAGATTTATTTGCTCAGGTTTTAATATACTTTCTTTAACACTTTAAAAGTGAAGATTCGTCTGATCAATAAGTTTTCAACGCAAACATGTTGCATTTGAGAGTCTGGGCCAAGCTAGAGGGGAAAAAAAAAGGCGAAAACAAGGCGTACAGTACCAGTAAATAAAAGCTAAAAAAAATGAGAATTTTGGTTAAAGTTTTTTGCAAGCCTTTATTCTATCTTTAAGGAAGTAACCATTGCATACTAATATTCCTGCTAAGTTTAATTAAAAAAAGGGATAAATTAGTCAACCTATGTACACCAACCAAATAAAAATGACAATACAACGTTTTCCGTAAGGTTGCCTGCTATCTGGGATTACCACACAGTACGGTAATTTTACCAGAAATTTTTTCCTTGTTTGTAAACACTAGATTCTCTACATTAAAGTAATTATTAAATCAACGAAAAATGCAAGATAAACAGATTTAATCATATTCCCTTTCTTACATTGCTACAATGAAAGTAGGATTGCAGCAATCCAAGATAGAAATAACTATATCTGTTAATCACGTAATCGATCTGAAACTTAATTTCAATAGCACAAACAATACAAATGGGGAGAAAAAAATAGTTCCGTTATTTAAAAATCGCGTTTCATCTCCTCCTTTTCTAAACATTTGTCCCCTCTTCCCCATTAGATTGTTTTACCCCGAAACTACAACCGGAAAAAGTTCCAAACACCTCCAAATTTCCGAAACTCTGCTTACAATTCTGCACCACCCCCTAATCCCCGAAACCCTGGCAACACCCCACTAATGACAAGAGCTACCGACCCGAAAAAATTAAAAAAAAAGATGTTCCCCCTATCAATTGAGTCCCCCCATTTGCCAAAGAAAGGTTGTGGCAGATGTTAGAAACCTTCCGCGCCAACCCTGCAATTGTCCCGATCCGTAATTTGCGTCTTTTCTAACGTAATGCTGTCTACTTTCAGTCAAAGGAAAGAAAACAAAAAAGACTAAAGACGATAAAAAAAAAAGTTTTTTTGTGTTTTTCAGAAAACAATCTCTTTCCCCCATCCTTTTTTCTTATTTTGGAAGATTTCTGTGGTCATGGCATACAGCCGTCGCCAATGTGGCTTCATTTTCATAGAGATCTTAATGACCGCCGTGAATATTGACCGGATGTAAGTGAATACTCACCCTATGTTTAAGGGGTGACGCCAGTGTCTTCACATGACCTGTACCGTTACTTACCTTGTGGGGTAATCCTTTGTAACCACTTCTGTTGGCGACGACTCCGGCTGATTGACTAGGAAAGGTAATGTCACCTATGTTTCTCCATCAATTATGTGTTTAGAGTTATTTCCTGTTTGTGTGTAGTTTTTTTAGTTTAGTTAGTTTTAAAAATTTGCGAATCGTAATTATGTAACTGTACGTTGTTTGCATTTGTCACACAAAAGTTTTTTTTTTCCTTTTCTTTTTCTATATCTTTAACCTTTATATATGGAACCATAATAGTTTAAATTTCAGACATGAAATCTCTTAGTAAAATTTATATATTTATTTGTCTTCAATTTGAGATACATTGCATTTGTGTGTAAGGGTTTCTATTTAAAAAAAAAAAAAAAAAAAAAAAAAACTTCCAACATTGTGTAGAAATGTGTAAAAATAAAAAGAAATAAAAAAAATACAAAAACCATCCATCGTGTCTCAAATGTCACCAGAAAGCCTTCAAATTTTATTTACAGACGCCTAATAGAATATAAATCACGACATCGAGCAGATTTTGTTTACCTTTCGCAGTGTTTGAAAAAAAATTAAAAAAGAAAAAAAGCTTTTACAATGTTTTATTTATTTATTTATTTTAGTATTTTAAACAGAATTGTATATTTTGAGCAAACAATGAAACCACAACAAAATTGTTTTGTAATAATTGTGTCAATAAAGCAATACGTAGCAAGTTTTTGAATCGATATACCACTATATACTACGTATATAGAACTTACAGGAAAATTTAAATAAATAAATAAACAGTTATAAATAAAAGTTATTACAATCAAAATATAATTTTCATGCAAAATTACACAGAAATGAGAACATGCTGAACTGCCATTGTGTAGCACTGTGGTTCAGTCCCAAGAGGTGGATCGAAGATTTTGATGTATACCTGCTCGTCTGATAGGTAAAGGCGGTTGCTGCGCAACGCTAATTACATTGCCTCCATCTTGCATTTGTTCACAAAATTATGCTGATTTTCTGGACTACAATAGCCTGTTGCAGAGTTGCTGTATTTTATTCGCATTAACTTGATTACCTACACGGAGAAAGAAAATTCAGGTAAAATTACCGTACTTGTATGGTAATGACATTTCTGATTTAAAAAAAAGAAAACGGAAGAAAATTTGGTGATGTAACCAAAATATACGATATTTAAACAATTCATTTTGTAATTTTCCATTTGTATGGTTGGTTTACCGGAAATTTTGATTTTCAGAATTATAGTTTTCATTACCACAAATTACCGTGCTTTTTACTGTTCCCATGGAGTCAGAAGCAAGGTAAATATTACCATATTCTGGTAGTAGTGATCAGATATTTCTTCTCAGAATATATATAATTTGTTTTAAAGGGGGCCTCAATAGAAGGTGAAATAAATTAGAAACTACGTAGATTTGAGTGATATAATTCTTTTTGAATATTTATTTATTTGGACCACACAAAATATTTATTTTTGCGTTACGAATGAGAAATATTTAACTATATTAATTATCCAAGTACAAAGTATCCAAGTGCTATATTAACCAAGTACAAAGGAAGGGATTAAAATAATATTTTAATTTTTCTACTAAAAAGTAAATTAATTTAAACATTAATTTGATTTTTTTTCCTTCTAATTTAAGCGGTTATATAAGTGAGGTAACGCAAAGACTTCAATAACATAAAAAGATCAATTATTTTTTTACTTTGTTACAAAAGATAAAAAAAAAAAAAGAAAAAAATTCATTAAATAAAGAGAAGATAGTTAGAAAAGACATTAAATACGAGAAAGTAATCATAGCTTAAACCTACATCCTCTCCCATGTTTCTAAAAATATGGTAACTCGTAAATAGTTATAACATTACTTTTTAATAGAATATTAAAATATTCAAGGAAAGTAATATTTTCTCTTAAATATTTGGATATAATCTAAAGTATGAAACTTAAATTATATGAACAAGAAAAAAATATAGTATAATATTGCTATAAGAATATGCTTATACGCATATTGCTATAACATAATATTGCTTAAATAAGCCACGATATTAGTGGTGCTAAGTTGTACCATATTATCTTACTTTTTAAACCTGATTACACGATACTATTTAACATTAATGGAAACTACTTAAGAGGTTGAAGTGTGATACTTAATTTTTAACATTATTGCTAATGCATTACGTCCGTTAATGCATTACGTAATTCAGTTTATTCTGTCAGTACAGCCATTTCTGACTCTTGCGCCATTATATTTTACACTCAATCCAATGCAATGATTCATAAATTTTTAAGAATTTCTTATCAGTTTTTATCGTTTGTATTCGAAATTGTTATTTTGTTTGTAAAGTAACGTTTTAGATTATATCTTGAATGTGCTCAGTAAAAAATTCCGGATCAAATTATGTGGGTGCTGGTACAAAGTACCGGCACTCAGGGTGCCGTTACTTATTGGGAATAAAATCTATTTTTATCAGAATATATTACGAAACAAAAAATCTGATACACCGTAATTTTTACAGTAATAATTACTGTAAAACCACTTTATCACTCTGATAAAATAAATATTACTGCAAAGGTTACGACTTAATATTTTACAGTAAAAACGGGTTTTGCGGTAAAGCATATCTTACCACAAAATAGATTTCAAAAATGCACCCAGAGTGCAGATACTTAATACCGGGATTTGATCCAGAATTTTTTACAGTGTAGTGCTACAAACACAGATGTTTCGTCACTAAAAATCTTATTTTTCCCTAAAGCTAGTTTTTTTTTCTTCCCCCATATAAAATTTCTTATTTTTGGAACTTAAATTAGAGTAAAATTATTTTATATTCAAAATATTCACATCCATTTAGTTTCGTTACTTTATTTTGATAAAATTATTTCTTGAACGATTATTTTTTGAACAAATAGAAAAACGTATAGTAAACGTTTTTTTTTTCCCTTCTTCTTTTTTCCAATACCCACCTGTGTCGACATTCGACAATTCCGGCGTATAAGGGCAGATTTGTTGGCCACTCTTTCACCATGTTAGGCGAGCCGACGTTGCTCCTACAGTAAGGACAGATAAAACAGAGAAAGAAAGTACATTCATGCCTTGTCCGGGATTCGAACGCAGAACTTTTCTGATTCAAGGCCAGTTTCTTGACCCCTACACTGTCCGGTCGGCAGTATAGTAAACGTGGAACAATTTATTTGAAAACTAAACATAATTTTATTTATTGAAGAGATATAATCAGTGTTTACGAAATTTCTATGAAATTGCAAATTCAAACAAAATTAAACAATGAACAATGTTTTTTAGTTTAATAACAGATTTAAATTGATAAAAATTTTGCTTCAGAATGCTCTAAAAACTTATATCATTTGAAAAAAAATGAAAAAAAAAAATTCTTTTTTCTCTTTTTTCGTCATTGTTTATCTCAAAAGTAACATATTTTTACATTCTTTTCGTTTCAATTTCTTTTTTTAATACTTGATTCTATGCTTTCTTCCTTTCATTGTATTTTAATTTATTTTTTTAAATTTATTCATTTAGTTTTTGATTCCCGCAGCATTTTTTATTAATAAACGAATTCCCTTTTTACTTCGAAAGAAGTTCCTTTTTTAATTGAATAAATAAATTACCAGTGCACAAATAAAAATGAAAGAAAGATTTATTTTCTGATATTATTATTTTCTAACATTGAAATGTCAGTTTCCGAAAACAATTTGTTTACAGTATGTAAAGGCAAAAAAATCACAATTTAAAAGTGATTTTCATTAGCACAAGGGGTAGAGACATTTCAGAAATACAAAAATTCTTTAACGTACGAAATTTCAAAATTGTCATAGATTTGACTAAGAGATGTGAAAAACGAGAAACCTTATATATCAATATCATTAAAATATTTAAAATCTTAAATTTAAAAACTAACTACATTACATACATTTACTTAACTACATTACATACATGTTGCAAACACAAGATAAAGAGGAACACTAAAAAAGAATTACCTAACCTTAAAACACTATTATGCCAAGTCAATGAATGGGATAGTTAAAACTAATAATACTTATAACAACAACCTTCGAAATAGAATTTGAATTTAATTATTGGCATACGAAATGTATAATGAGGCCATGTAACCGTGATGAAAGTCGAGCATAATTTCAAAATTAGTAATTTCACATTTGTGCAGCATTGATTTAGCAAATAAATAAATATATAAATAAATAAATAAAAAATAAACATCATCTAAACTTCAGGCAGCAATACGGGGCTAGAAGATAATAAAATAAAATAAATAATAAATAACTATATAAGAATTTATATTGTAATTGAATTATGTCAATATGTCATTTAATTTATGTCGATTATAATTTGAAATGTTATTATTTTTATAAAAAGATTTTAATTAAAGTTGCTTAATGCTTGCAAAGACATTGAAATTGCGTTAAATTATTCTTGGGCTAAACTAATTATAATTTTTATCTTATGTTAATTTCATTATTTTTAGGAAATTTGAAATGTTTGATTTGGTAAAACAACATACTTCTTGAAATCTAAGCTTAACTCTTTAAAAAATTACTGCTCCAAAATTTTTTAAAATATTATAATACTGACACTGTTTTATTGAGAAGTATACTTTTTAGTATACAACATGTTTAATCATTTAAGTACTAAATTAAAAAACAATGTATAAATTATGCCATTTTTGACAAGAAAAATGTCTTGAAATATTTTTAAGAATTACTCTCTGTAGTTAATATCTAAACTGGAGGTTATATATTAACACGTTAAACAGAAAGAAACAAAAAACATTTCTCACTGAATTTTAAAAATAAGAAATCTTAAGAAAAAATAAATTAGATTACATTTAAAACATAACTAATTCTATAATTAAAGTAATTGAAAGAAGCATAGCGAAAATTCATTAAACAAGGAACAAAATTGAAAAACGAAGTATTACATAATGTAATAGAGATCCACTGTTCTTGCATATCGAACAATTGTAGAAACAATTTGAATCTTTGTTCACTTAGTTTTTGTTTTACAAACAATTTTTTGAAACATTTATCTG